TTCCTTGTCAAGGAAAACTTGTCAAGGAAAACTTGCTCGTGTAAACGCCGCTTAAATACTAGTGTTTCCATATCTTATTTGCGCAGCTTTAGCCTCGAAAGCGTGTAATATGTGGTTTTATTCAGTGCCCGTCCGATGACATGACATGAATATTCTTAATGGAAAGAGGATGGTATTCCCAATTGGGGTTAAGACTGCGTATTTGGATAATTCTTACTTAATAATACGTTTTTTATCCATRTTGCTCAGGGTTTTTGAAGGAATTGTTCGAAGCCTGAACAACCTAATGGAGCGTTTTCACCAGTCMTTTTTCTTCTACCTCTTGCCTGCACCCTACCGATATGTCTCCATTGGACTGTATATGCCACCGTTTTGCTGCTTGCTATTGGGACCAATGATTTCTGCAGTTATGCTTTGGGTAGTTACTGGTGATCCTAGCGTCGTTCACAGATCTAAAAACATCGCTAAGGCAAAGAAAGAAAAAGATGAAGACAAAACGGATGATAACAAAGATGTGAAAAAGCCTGACAAATCTTCAAACAAAGACACTGATAATGCCTACCATGAAGAAAAGGCAGTTAGCGTAARGAAATTTCAAGATCCAAAGGAATCCACTGGCATACATAACGCTAAAAACGGAGAAGGAGAAAATAGCGAAGCTGAAAGACAAGATACGGCACCGTCCATCGACGAGTCGACTTTACGAGAAAAGGTTTGTAATCCCGTGATGCTCGATCATGTCATTAGGTGCCCCCCCCGTATAGGCCCCCACACCCACCCCGTATAGCCAGACACCTTGCATGTAAAGTTAAATCAGCTTCATCTGGAGACTCTCTTGCTTAAAATCCATTGCTTTGTTCCTCAAATAAAACTGCATTCTCATGAACTGTATGACGCCTATATTACACCATTTTTATGTTTTTACAGGTTGCCTTTGCCTGGAATCCTCAACAGGTCAGCGGAGTGTTYCCTATTGTCATGGTAACATACTTGGGTGGTGCATTGTTGTATTACAGTCCGTATCTTGGTTATACACTAGGCGTTACTATGGAGATGAATGGATTAACTGTCTCCCTTGTTTGTACGTGTATTGTTTTGTGTATCATGGCRATGACCCCCCTCATACACAGGTGATTAATTTGGATATGTATTGTGAATCAGTTGTATAAAAAGATAAATTAAACACCGTAAAAAAGTAGGTAAAATAACTTACTGACGTTTCGGACGTTAATCCTTCGTCGTAGTAAAGAGGGATGTATTGTGAATGGGTTCTAAACTCACTCGAGTTCTTTCTTCGGTATTTTAAAAAACTCATACATAATTAATGAGTTGTTAGGGCAATAGAAAGAGTCTATTTGGTCACATGCATTCCGTCTTCCTTTCCTACAGTACCTGTTTCGTTTCTATAATTTGTTTGATTTCCTTCCGAGTTTTGTTGTTGTTGTTGTTATTGTTGTTGTTGTTATGAATTGTGCGTTTGTTAATCTCTTTTTCTGTAGGATTTTCTTGAAGACTGCATCAATGGCGAATCTCTACCTTGTCAAGTGTGTTGCCTTAGTGCTCTTTTCGGTCACAATGGCGTCGCTTGGTGCGATGAATTTCTCCTTGGCGTTCTTGACCAGTGTGATAACTATCCCCGCTTTTCTTATAGCTGGCCCAACGCAAAATATGTAAGTTCATATCTTATAAGGTCCTGTTTTACTATGCACTATTCTCAACAACTTGTTGTACTTACGGAGTACGCCCTTCGACAATAGACATTTTGCATGAAACGGTCACATGGTACTAAATCCGGCATACTGGATGGCAAAAGAATGTAAAGAACCTCAAAAACAAAAGAAACGCAGCCCGTCAAGATTGACTTTTATTTGTTTTGAACATCCCCAGTGGGTATTTTGCCATAAAGCATGGCGGATTTTGTGAAATGCTTCGGAACGCTAATTTGCTGCCGTGCGTCAAGAAAAGGGGAACTTCAACTTCGTGCAGGGCTACACGCAGCGAAAACAAAACGAAAAAAAGTTTCAAGAAARTCCCTGTTATCTGAGCAGTTAGAGAATATTGCACAGTGCAATTGTTTAGCAGTCAAATCAATAAATATCTTTATTTTTGGAGTTTGCTGCACTTCTACCCTACTTATGACAAGCATTTTTTTAAATCATTTTAATGTCGAGTTCTCATTGTTTGCCTATTGGAAACAGCACCAATTATAAGTTACCACGGAAATCCCTTCGTAAATGTTGTGCCAATGTCAGAAGTACATAACTATATTATGGTTATGTACTTCTGGCCAATGTTTATATGTTCACTCAAGAATATTTTGTGAAAGGTTATTTTTGTAAACAATTTATAAATGACCGATCATAAGCAAACATATCTTGAGAGGAAGAATGTTCTTGATTTCGTAAAAATAGGCATCACGGGAAAAAAACAAACCGTGAATAAATTATGTTTGAGCTTCCTCTTACACCCCTAGTTAATCAAATCTTTCKGTTTTTCAGATTCCGTCGATTTTCTCAAGTGTTTCTTCTGCTCGTCGCTTCTCCGCCGTCAATCCTCTTCCTACTATGTTTGGCGCACCTTGCTTTATTACCTGAATCTGACACACTTTCTGYTGATAACTTCGATTCCACAATGCGAGAAACTTTGGAAATGGCTTATCACGCTGTAATGTCGGCATTAAGGGATTCACATGTGCTTGGTACATGGTCGTTTAGCATTGCTTGTGTTGGTTTAATGCCAAACTGGRCCCTCTTCTGGTATCTCGCTTGGCAGTAACTATTAGGTATTTGACTTTTAGGCACAACTATGACTRTGTAATTACGTAATACAGAAGCAACTTGACCACTGCACAGCAAATGGCATGCGGTAAAACTTTTACAACATGTTTTTTTTCTGGGCCAACATTGAAAGGAAATAAGCTAAGAATAATGTTTACTAAGGGAAATTTTCAATTTTTATCTGTTTCATTTTTTGTTATTTCGAAATTAATTACTTGAATTGGGAAAGACTAGGATAACWAACACAGGATTTTGTGTAGACATTGAATTCAACACTTAAAATATTACACTTGAAATCAGCGTTGGATGGAGAAAGCAAGGGCTATCCTGTTGAGCTTTTCGTCAGAGTCCATTCAAATCATCATTGTTTCCTAAGGGCTCGTTTAACTTCAAGTACTRCTGCTCTAATATTCGCTTTATTTCTTTTCACGAAATAGCACAAAGGCTTTATACTCCTGATAGTAATGTTCGATTACCCCGTTAGAAGTGAATACAGGCAATAATATTGAAATAGAACCCGGCTGGCCTTGAGATCATTTTCCACGCTAAAACTTTCAAATATAGTCTGCTTAAAATGAAAAATGTGACTACAGCAAGATTGATGTGCGTGGAGGAAGGAAGGCAAGGAATACTTTCTAAGAACTTTTGCCAGGAAAAGAAATTTCCTAAATTAAAAAAAAAATGACCAAAAAACGTTTGCCAGGAATAAATTTTTTTAGGTCCAAAAAGAAAAGTATTGTAATAAAGCCGTTCTTGAACATAAAAACGATTAAATTTTTTTAAAGAAGGAAGGGCGTCACATTTGCTTGTGATATTGTCAACAATGTAGGTTAAAATCTCTTCCTCAGGGGAAAAACATGTAAAAAAAAGTGGTGTTTTACTGTCACTAGCTCCATTGTATTCAACACCGGAAACAAGAACCTATACTATGAAATTATATGTTAAGATCTATTCAAATTGTTTTTTTTTTCGTGTATTGTGATTGTTGTACAAGTGCTACACTAGAATATATTCAAGTCATTAAAAACTTCGGAACTTCTGAGCAGCATTCGCTATTGGCTCAGAACAAGACAGGCATTGAGATTTCTCAGCCTTTATGACACTTCATTACAAGTCGAACTGTTCCAACAGTGACTCCAGCATAGCCCACAAGTTTAGTTGATTTAGATACACAGAGAGTACGTTTATTCATTGCTTAACGAAATATCATATCAAGGTGCCATGGAAAGCACTACATTTGACAACAGAAAGTTGATTTATGTCGCTATTAATGGTATATCTTCTTTACCCGCCATATTCACCAACATCATTGTTTTTATTTCAATTTGGAAGACGCCGAGACTTCACACACCTTCCTTCGTCCTGATCTTTAACCTTACTGTATCAGACTTTGGAGTGGGACTAATTGTACAGCCAATTTTCATAGCGTTTGTCGTTTTCGACTATAATCCTGTGTTAAGCAAAGCTTTCCAAGTTTGTTGCATGTATTTTGTCGGTGCTTCGACAATCTGCATGGCCGCTATCGCTGTTGATCGATGTCTCGCTGTAATGCTTCACATGAGATACCAAGCGATAGTTACAATGCCAAGAGTCTTTAATCTAACTCTATTCTCTTGGACCATGAACACTCTTTTTCTGGTTTTGTTTGGTCTCATTGACTGGGAAACGTTTAATTATATATCATCTTGCACGGTTCCTTTCTGTGTTATCGTAGTAGCTGTTTGTTATTACAAAATCTTTCGTATTATTCGCAAACATCGTCGACAAATCA